TTTGTCGTCATCATCTAAGATAAATACACCCTCCTCCTTGTCTAATTCTTCATGCAATTTTTCGGTATCTTTCAATACAGTTGGGCAGGTTTTGATCGTAATTTCTGGAAGTGTTCTAAAAATAATATTGTGAGATGTCTTATGTTCACATTAAAAATTTTCAAAATATTAATTTGGTTAAACTCTTAGATAAAAGAGACAAGACTACATTATTGATGAAAAATAGTATACAGGGTGTACCAATAAAAACTCCCAGGCCGGATATTTTGGTAAGTAATAGAGATATTTTAATTCTGTAAAAGCCAGTTCGCAGAGCACTAGAAGAGCTTTAGTTTTAGATATAAATAATTTTTTTCAATGGAAGGAGCTTTCTTGTGTAGCGCATCTTGTAAAAAATGCATTTTTAAGCAGATTTTTTTCTATGAACTAATGATAAATCCAGCCATTTTTGATATACAGAGTGGGGTTTCATCCTGTTTTTCAGCATTAATCATTGGATTTTAACAAAATGTTTAAACAGGTCGATTTTAATTCCAAATTAAAAACATTTTTACAATACTGTAATGAAGTTAATTTTCGTTAATATTTTTTTCCCTAATTCCGGGTATTACAATTTTTACTTAATTTTAACTTCGTGGATATGCTCTATATATCAGGTTATCGTTGTTCAGATCAAATCGTTCAGATACTCTCCGTGCGCGAGTTGCTATGGTGGGATTTTCTGTTAGTGGAAGGGCAAACGACGATTGAACGAACTCCGAGAGTCAATTAAAAATTTCAGTTCCTAATACACCGATTTATTGAACAGTCCAAAATAGAAAAATTATTTAGAAACCGAAATCCACGATTCCGATATTGCTCGCGATAAATACAATTTTAAACCGATATAAATTTCTTAATATTTTTAATTAATATTATTCCGTGTTAAGTTAAGAATTGAAACTTAATTTATTTTTGTTAGAAAGCACCTTTTTTTGGAATTTCATTTTAGTTTATTTAAGGCTTTAACTGTTAAATAATTTATTTTTCATTCGATCGTAAATATAGTCGTATAGTTAATTTTTCCTACTACCGTAAATTTCCGTGGAAAAATCGTAAATTTCATTTAAGTTTATTTAAAGCTTTAACCAATAAATAATTGGTCGGAACTGTTTGGGAATTGTCCAATATTGTGATTTGCTATCTTAATAGAATTGCGACGGGACATTTTCTTTTATTTATACTCAGAACCGCAAATTTTAAGAGAACTTAAATAGCATCATTTCCCTGTCTGAAGCGGCTCGTGATTACGATCATTTCATTCAGAGATAATGTGCTATCCCAGTTATTAGTTTATTTTACGTCTGAAACACTAATTTGCGTAAGTCCATGTTATTTTAAGAGAATAAATAGTATTATTCCCGGTTGTTAGTTGGTTTAACTTTTCAACTAGTAGTTTCAGTAAACTTCTTATAGACTCCCGGTTTCAGCCCTGAAAGTAGTACTGTCCCGAACATGTCTCCTGGCATTCTCTGCAACCGTATATGCAATACCAATTAAACAATTCAACAGGTAATTTTCCTACGACCGTAAATATTTTTTTGTAGAAAAATATTAAATTGCATTTTTAGTTTGTTTAACGATTAAACTGTTAAATAGTTGATTTTTACTGCGTCCGTAAAAATAGTTTAATAGTAAATTTTTCCTACGATCGAATTAATATTTCTCCTGAACGAAATAGCAAGTTACATTTCCAGCTCAACAACCGTGATTACTACAATTATTAATTTCATTTTTTTACGTCTGATTAAGGCTCGGAAGTCATTTCCAGCCGTTTTTTTTTGTTTATTTTTGTTTAGGGTTTGTACATATTACCGTAATGGGATGGCGTTAAAATACCTTAATTTATTCTTTTTTTATGTCGTAAATAGTTTGAAACAATATATGTCAATGTAAGCTTACCGTATTACTGGTTACTAATTTCATACTTTATTTCCCCCTTGTATTTTAGCTAGTGATAAATTCTGCACCAGCCCAAGCAACGATTAAAGCCCGTTACTTGTGGCCTACCATTACCTGTGTCTTAGTGAGCCCTGGAATTTTTCATCTCCTTCTGTAGCTACCCAAGTACTTTCGACGCTGCTTCGATAGTTACCAAAAATCTGTCGCTCGAGAACCGTCCGTGACCAGCGCCATTAGTAAGGGACAATTTTCTCAGAGGCGAGAAAACTCCTTACAATACAGACATCTGTCATGTGTCATCCCCCTCCCTTTCACTTCTCCAACACCTTAATTTTAAATAGGTAATTATCATGTATGGCACATCATTAAAAAGGTAATTTAATGGGATTCAGAAATATTTCTGTACATTGCGTTACTTAAATTTTATCGCCCTCTAGCGGGATAAAAAACTACTACGTATTATAGAGTGACACTTCAATGTGTAGTACATCATTAAAAAGGTAATTTTATGGGAAATTTAGAAATATGACTGTTCATTTCGATACCTTTAATCGTTCCGCCCTCTATCGGGATAAAAAATTTGTACGTATTATAAAGTGTGACACCTCATTTGAAAGCAAATTTAATTACTAATTTATTGCTCCACATAACATTAATCAAATATCCTCCATATTGCACTTGCAATAGTTTGAAAATTAGTCATGCATTATTTTAAACAGTATTGCTAACTCTATTTTGTTGTGCAATATGGAAATATTTATAATATTATGTGGTGCATTGAATTAGTAATTAAACTAGCTTTCAAGTGAAGTGTCACACTTTATAATACGGTTTTTTATCCCAATAAAATTAAAAGTATTACAATAAAAAGTCATATTTCTGACTTCCCCATAAAATTATCTTTTCAATGGTACATTCCCTATTTAAAATTAAGGTGTTGGAGAAGTGGAATAGAGGGGGTTGACACATGATAGATATCAGTATTGTAAAAATGTGTTCAATTTGAAATAAAAATGACCTTTTTTAGCATTTTCTAAAAATCCAATGATTAATGACGGAAAACAGGATGAAACTTTTTTGAGTAATTCACTCTGTATATAAAAAATGGCTAGATTTATCGAATTAGTTTATAGAACAAAATATATAAGATGCGCTATACAGGGTGTAACTAAATAAGTGTAAAACATTTAAGGGGGTGTGATTCCTCATCGAAAAAAAGATAGAATCTTTCATATAAAGAAAATTCATTGGAGCATCCTGTAGCGCCTTGAAAGCACTACATACTAACTCCAACTCATAATATATTGATACATGTCACACCCTTGCCACACATATCAATATTATCTATTAAGGCAGCTTAGTGGGAGGCAGGATTTAAGTGCACCCTATCTATCTACTTGACGACCTCGGTTGCCAAGCATTAATATTTATTAAAAAAAGAAATGTCAATTATATAATTTTCTGTCATGACGGAATTGTCTATTTTTATTATATTAATATATACCCTTTTACAAACCGCTATATTATTAGAAGATGGGATCTCCAAAGTTAAAAGATCCCATACATCAATTGTTAAGATACAGCCCCTTAAAGGAGGTACATAAAATTTGTTTAACAATTTTTTTACAAGCACTAAACAAGTTACAATATTGAAATTAACCTGTCATTTTCTGCTACCGAAAAGGCACTTAGCCAGTAATTTATTTGGTTTGCCCCATGGTTGTAGGGGGTGGAAAACGCAACCCCTAAAATTTCGTTCCAACGTAACTTTTTGTCTTATTATTTGTTTACCATTTAAAATTTTATTTCCGATAGCCTGTTTCATTCTAAACAAAAAATGTCTCAAATTATTTTACGAACAAGATAGATATCGCCATAAAACGAAAATACGAAACTAATTTATCTAGTAGGCCGGTATTTGCGATACTGACAATTACATTGAAATCAATGAAGTTTCTTTATATAGAAGATCCTACCTTTTTTTCGATGAGGAATCACCCCTTAAATGTTTTACACCCTGTATAAGAAAGATCCTCCCATCAAACAAAAAATATTGAGCGCAGCGCCATCTACATACTGACCTATTTAAAATTAATTTATATCTAAAACTGAAGCTCTTCTAGCGCTCTATGAACTGGCTTTTACAGAATTTAAATATCTTACCAAAATATCCGGCCTGGGAATTTTTATTGGTACACCCTGTATATTTATTACTTGAAGTAGAAGTTTCTTTATAAAGGGTGAATCTTTTACAAATTACTTTCAAAAAATCACAAATAAGGAAGATACAGAATTAAAAAAATCTAAATCTGAACCTGGAATTGTGTATAAAAGTTATGCTAAATATAAGTTCGTTTATATTTTAATTTTGTTTTTGTTTTTCTTATGAATCACGATTCAATTGTATATCGGTTATTATAGGCGATTTTAAATAAGATACTATGTCTTGAATATGATTGACTACACTGATATAAATCAAAAACAATGACGTCATATTGAATATTGTCTTGAAATAGTCAAGTTTGACATGACTACAGTAAAAACGTGGTCATCACAGGTATGAAATGTCAAATGAAATGACAAATGTAAAACTTTTACTTTTTAATTATTAATCATTGTTTGGTTGTATTATTTGTAAAATAGAAAGAAAGATTTACGAAAGGGAAAAGTGGGACAATGGTGACGATAGGGTATCAGGTTAAAAAAACAGGTATTTTTATAAAATAAGCTCCTTTTTTTGTAGAGATCTAAAAAAAGGTCCTCCGCTTATATTTATTTAAACCATCAGATTCCTTTTTCTGAGCTTTTCAAAAACAGGTCAAACATTGTCAAAAATATCATTGTATATAACTTTAAATTTACAAAACGTAGCAATAAGGTGAAATGCGGAGCATTTTTGTACTTTGGCGTAACGCGTGCCAGCAAGTTAAAAAGTGGGACAATTACACCTAAAGCGCGACGTCTGGCAACCCTGGCTGAGTACCTAGATATGGACGCATTTAAGGTTTCTGCAAATGAAAAGCCATTTTATTTCAAGGTAGGATTTATTAATGAACATGGCTAAAGTTTTGATAAAATTTCAGAGGCCAAAGTAACTGTAATACCAATTTTCTCTTCATCTATGATCAGTAAACAAAACAAATATTTATTTTTTATCCCTACAAATTCAAAAACAAATCCTACTA